CATTGTTAGTAAATTAATCTATAAGGTACTTATTCCTGTTTTTAAATTCTAACGCGACAGCACCATAAACTAGAACATTACCCTATTGCTAAATAATTAGCTTTGTGACTATTGCTGGAAACTGATGAGTTTTTTGGAGCTTTTAAGCTGTTGGGGAAACGAATTTCTTCCTGACGTGTCCCATGCACGAGTGGATGTTTTTCGCGAAAAGCATCATCATCACTCAGTTGTGCTAGCCACCAGTGCTTGTGAAACGTTAAAAACATATTTTCTACCACAGCAATTCGCCAGCTTCAGAAGAGAAAAGTAATATTTCAAATTGATCCAAAAATATACATAAACATTTCTGGGTGATTTCAGAATAGCTCTTAGCAGCGAACACCTTTTAGAGTATTTAGAATGTGTATGCGTATTTTTAATGATGAACCTGCCAAAAATTGTCCAAATATACCGACCAACCCTGTATATACTTCAATATGTTGTTCTACATTAAATTTTACTCATAAAAGTGCCTATACGTCAATTTCAGGAAATACTTTATTTTAACGAAATTTAATAAAAACAATTCGAATTATTTAAATGTATATTATCATCTATTTTTCATATTATTAGCGTGCGTTCTAGGTAATTAAATAGACAAAAACATGAACGATTGTAAATTACGGTACATCATTTTTTCGTTTTTTAAGTCCACCGATTAATTTACTAAATTAAACTCTTCAAGCTTTATCGAAGATGCGACGTTCTCGCAAAATTAGAGTAAACAATATGCAGTTAATGTGACTAATTTTTCTTCAGCTTTCAAAATCTGTAGAGTTTGCATGTTTGTTTCTGTTTTGGATTTGAAGTTAGATAGGAAGTTTTAGGAGTTTTAGTTTTTAGAAGAAGTTTTCTAAAAATTGGACGGCTTTAAGTTTAACAAAACTTTGTTTATTTATGTTGAGGTCTCTTGGTGATCGTGATGATAATTAGTGATCGTTGTTGCTTTCTGTTTTTTGGATGGATCGGCCAATAGATAGTGGCAGAGAAAATATTATTTTTCTAAAACTAAAAGGTAACAATGGACAAACAGATATACCAACTTAACGGCAACACAATATGAAACCGCTAAAAAGTCTTAAAAGGTAAACAAACAATAGCCATAAAACAATATTTGGCAAGACAGATAGTTGCAATCATAATGTGTTTTTTGAAGCATTTTTTAAGATGCTTTTTTTCTATTAACTTAATTTATCAAAAAAGGACATTTGTTTGTCTGCTAGTGTTCGTTACTTTGCGTATAAGTATTCGTATTAGTATCAGTCCTCTTTGCTTACGTAATTTCTACATAAATCGTTATCGATTTGATTCATATCGATAAGCCCCATTCGCCTAGCTGTTCAGCTGGTTTAAGTCAGTTTACGGTCTGACATTTCCATTTGCTTCAGTTCGGATCGGTAGCTGCTGTTGATAGGTTGTGTTGTAGCAGCCTTGTCGATACGAACGTCTACAATTCGTTCATTACGATAACGTTCAGTTGTGATTTCAAAAAAAACTTGTTTACGTATGTCCAAAATTAAACTTGCGGAGTGCTTTGCCATAAAGCTGGATCGGATATGTCAGCTCAGTGCTGAAAACACCGTTTTTGTCGAAAGTTTCTCGTGTATGGCAGGATGCTGTACATCTTGCCACCCCTAAGGAGCCAAAATCCTCCGGCCCCTTGGAGCAATTTGATTTGCACCAACGGGAACAATCGTAACAGTGGAAATCTGGATAACAGCTCCACCGGTTGGAAGAACAATAACTCCAAGCCACCCAAGATTCAGCTTAGAAATTTACAAATTCTTCCCAAAAGAGATGTAAGTTTCTTCTTAATAACAGAAGATCATTCAAGTCTTACATCGCCAAGTGAGAAAAACATAAATAATATGAAAACAAAGGTTTAGTTGTTGTGACGAATTGTGTTACCTAAATGTCAAAATGTCGTTGACCTTTTGCAAATTGCAGACGTAACATCGCTCAAATGTCAACTGTATATGGCTGTATATATAGGGTGGATTCTTAAGATTGCCAATGGAATATTCTATCACAAAAAATTAAGTTCTATAAAGATATGTTATAAAGTTTCGTGAATGAATTTAATAGTTCATACGAGCTTTCTTTGAACTAATTCCAGACAATGTTACCGATTTTATGAGTGTTTGAAAGTGCGTATTTTCAGACAGTATCTGCTTTAATCTTTTCGAAGTTACTGGTTGCTTTTTGCCGTACTAAACGTTTGTCCCAATAAAAAGGGATACAAATGACTGCTTTTATCATTTACGTTGAAAAAACAAAATTTTTGACTTTAACTAAAAATGTGAGTAATAGTGAACAACTTTATTATTTACTTGTTTACACTGTTAACAACAATTTACACTGTTAACAATTTTTGTAAATAAATGCTCCATTTGTTCAAAAATTCGTTCCTGTAGTTCAAATGGTTTCAAACATGTTTGCCAAAAAAATGTTGTTTAACATTGTTATGTGTGTTGTTGAGAGAGAATAATTTTTCGTTGCTGCACTAATTGAGGAACACCCTGTATTTGTACATATTTATGAAACATTCTTTTTTTGAGAGTTCTGTACTATGGTCGCATTTTTTACAATCTATAGAAATCGCTCTGTGTTTTTGAGGTCTGGTTCAATAAAGAAAAGGATTGATTGAAAGATGCGAAATAAATGGTCCGGGAACGTTTTATATTTTATCACGTTTCCGAATTTTCCTTTTATTGAATCATTTGGTCTGGCATGCTGAGGCTAAGTGACGAAGAGAAATGATGCAACATTGTTTTGAATGAAACGAATTGAGTGGAGAAGATTGCATAAATGAATCAAGTGATTTTTTCCGTTATTAAAACTCAATTTTCACATTTAAACAGTTTTATTTGCGCGCTGCTTGGTGGTTTAAGAGTCCGGTACAAAAATGTGGGTTTATGGGCGGAACATTCAGATTCCTGGAGCAAAAAGCCTAAAATTGAAACTGAACCACCGATATCCATAGACTGATAAGAACTACATTCGGTTGTTGGGCGTAAAAGTTTAATTTTAGTTTAATTTTGTTAATAAATTTGAACACAAATAACTTTTGCATACATCTCAGGTGACTGGCGTTATTTCGGATATTACCGAATATTTGATGAAGGTGTAGAGAAACGAACCTACTTTTTCTAATTTGTTGATCTACACTGTATGAAAATTTTGAATTATTCCGAGAAGTCTTCAGTTCATTTCAAGAACTGATCCTTGAAATTAGAATTTCTTTCGGACGTTTTGCAAGTACGAATGACTTACATCTTCAGATAATTTTTCGCTTGACCTATCCGAGATTGAAACGAATTGATCGATGTTGTCTACGTCATTTATTTAACTGTTTTCAACATCAGAGTATCTTTAAAAACGATTGAGAAATAAGTATTTATCTCGGGTCTTGGCCACCGAGATCGCTAGATCTCGCTCCCTTTGATTTTTGTCATGGATGAAGTGGTTTTATGCTACAAAAGTGGACATAGGWTATATGACTAGTTCGCATTCTTAATATGCATTCTTCAAAATTCGATTTGTTTTGTTGGTTTTGTGTGAACTGATGAAAATGTCTATGAAACGAATWAAAAATKTACTCGGAATACATCAGCTTTTTTGCTTATTTTGACTTGGTGCGCATTTCCTTAAAAGGTTTYCATTTCCTTCCGAATTGCCMTGCATGTAAGTGTGTATGTAATRTATAGGAGGCACCTACAATTGAAAATTTTCCTTAGTACGTACTTCATATACAAATATGAGTTCGGCAATCTCCAAATTTAATGAAACTTCTGGAAATTTGATCAGTTATTTTCTTCCACTCAAATTTCTTTGAAATTCTTTGTTCACTTTCTTCTAATTGCTTCTGCGTTGGCCGATCACAAGCCGCGAATTCTTGCATGAACCTTATCTTGTGATAGCGACAATGCGGAACCCGGATTCGGTCCAACAGCAGAATGTGTTCTGTGAGAATACCAATCGAAACATCTCGAATTGCGATTCGAATCAATGGAACGAGGAAGAGGGAAATTAAAACACAACCTGTGTTTTGCATCTGTTGATAAACTTTTTATTAGATTGTAGTGTGTCTTGCCGATTATTGTCAATCAATATTTTTGTTTGCATTCAAAAACAGATCCTGATAGAGCCGGATTGTTTTACAGCTAACCTTTCGCGCTATAGGCCTCATTGCACAAGAACAAGGAAGTGCCTGAAAGATCACGGCGACCTGAAAATTAATAACGAGCATCATCAGCAATGCAAATTAATGGATAAGTCGTTCTAATTACTAGTGCACTGCTCCAGCTCCTACGCTCATGGCTTTAAGTGCTTTCTCGAGAGATTAGTTTAATGATTCATCACTTATGCGCGTACACGAACTTTGACTAAACCTACATTCACTTAATAATTATTAGGCTCTAAACGGAAAAGTACAGTTTCGCAGGTCAAAAGTGTCTGATAGCCGAAGTAGGTACACTTTACGGCTTACTTCCATTAATCAACAAAATCTGTTTTCAAACCACCCTGACTGTTGCAGGTCAGTTTTACTCGGCAACAACAAAGCACAAAGACCATTTTTTTACATTAATTCAACCGAATTCTATGCCGTTTCATGGTCAAGTTCCTCTTTTGTTCGTACCATCCTTATTGTTCGGTGCTACCCAAGCGTTGCCCGTCAAGTACTTACATTAAATTACAATTAACAAGATTATTTCAGCTTCTGTGCTTGTTTGTACCTCTTGGTGCGTCCCGTACAATCGGTTTCAGTCAAGTCGGTGTTAAATAAAAGCGCTTATTTTACGAAATGTTTCGTTGGAAAGAAAATTACTAAAAAACATCTCGAGGCGGACAAGTCGAAGACATGGGGTTGTGAACCCTTTTGAATTGTCTGGATAAAGATGTCTGGAGCCTGGAGGCTGGCGCCCTTTTCTATGTGGCTTTAGGGGGTTAAATCCAGTCAAATATTCAGTTTCTAAAGGATTTGTGGATTATTTCACGTTTTTTTTAWTACTCAGATTGTCAGTATCGGATTTTTTTAATACCTCACAGGGTGTCCCAGAAAATAGGAAGATTTCGGATTCATATACAGGGTTCSTATAAACAAAATTTCTACAGCCTCTTCCTACCAACATATAGAACCTAAAAAATACCGCGGAAAATCGGGTTTTATTAAATAACTTTTAAAGTATTAATATACAATATAATTTGATATTTTTAATATAGTAGCTACTAGATATTGCTCCTTAAAATAGTGTCTGAAACTCATTTTGCGGTTTTAGGTCGCCAGAGATCAACCAGATTGTACCGAATTCTCAAATTTTTAACACCCTGTGTGAGAGGACTCAAGGAATTAGGAATTCTTACATACCTTGAAATATKTGTTTTAAYTTTTTTAATATAGGTTTAATAATAAATGTTTTTTGGCTAGTAAAAGTATTTCCTTAATTAAGGCTTTAAATTAATACCTTTAAGTTTAWAATCGGGATCATATAATTKSATAGCTCTGCCTTTTAAGTTCTTTTAAACYATKATTTTCGTATTTTTTGCCAATGTGCTGATGCTTGACCCMAAATTTCGCGCAWYTACCACTTTGYCTCAGAATTTTATAATGTAAACTSCTCAACAAATCAACGTTACRCTRACAAATTTTGAAATTTTSACTGCTTAGAGCTAATTGATTTCTGTTTGAMGCGTTATTTAATGCAATTCCTTTTCTTTTAGTGGTTTTGTAAAAAAATAGTGCGTCAGATAAAGTTTCTASAGRGTGGYAAATAAAACWTTGCAAACTTGGRGAAAGTTTTGCGTGTKCTGAGTTGGASAAAAAACSATTATTTGCATTTCAACWACACAAGCATTAATACACATAGATCTCATATCTCAAAAAACGTTTGAATTTTTCGCTCATCTCGTTTTGGTCTTGCAGTGATAACTTTTTTTCTTRAACCTGTTGAWAATATATGRTTTCTGTTGAAGCTAAAACTTCACAGCGGACTTTAGATCGTGAACTCGGACCAAGAGCAGAAGAGATATCGTTGCGAATCAAAAAAGTAGATTTTTTGAAACCACCCTGTAAATAAAATAGATGGCCAAAAAATGCAAAAACCGTTTCGAGCTATTTGGGTTATCGTTAAACTTTTAGTGTTGAGGTCCAAAAAATTCAGCTTTGCAAAATTTTGCCTTTTTTAATTATCGCCCTCTAGAAAATTTTGCTGAGGTGTTTAATTTTCACCAAAACATGCTGACATGAGTTGCAAAGTTAAGGAAAATGTAGCTGTGTAACGTTCATTTGGTTGAGCAGTTTATTATCAAGCTGWGGAAATGTGTGGAATTGTTTCTATTACTTTCAATTATAAACGTTACTATACGGTGAAAGCAGTTAAGATAATTTCGCTTACGAGAAAAGAATATCGCAGAATCAAAGGCCAATAAAATGGTTATATAACTAAATATTTCTCAAACATCTTCTCAACTTTAGTTTCCTTTGCTGYCTTTAATGTATAAAAACATATTTTAATTGTGTCAAAGCGCTTTATAAAACTACATTAAGTAAATTGTTTATATATTTATAAACGACAGATTTATGAAGCCAAAACCTGTTAAGCTGTCGCGTTCATTACTTCAATCTGATGAGTTTTTCGGAATAAACGTTTTTTTCCTTACGTTTCGCATGCTTATTCAAGTTGTCCTTTTCAGTAGTTGCTTATAAGCATGATATTTATGAAGTTTTTTGATTTTGCAATTGGCCTAAACGCAAAAAGGTTACGAAACGATTTACAGATGTTCTTCTTGTTGTTTTGTCTATGGTGGAAACCTTCATCAGGCAGTTGATGATCGTCGGCTTGCCTTGAGTCGGGTCTGTTTTAAGTTTTATGTATATTGATGGATCTAATAGTCCTAGGATATTCTGTTCATATTCGTCTTTGATCATGATTGGCACAACAACGATTTTCGAATTTCTTTTGATCTCTAAGAGCCTAATGGTCTTCTCTACTGCTGACTGACGGATTTCATTTGTGCAAGTTCTCGCAGCCTTGTACATAAATCGATAAGTTGTGAGAGAAATTTTCGTTTTGATTGTCCAAAACCCGAAAACTTTTAGCTACAATTCTAGAATGTTTGGACGTTCTCTCGGCTTCTCTCGGGGAGGCTGTTTTTATTTCATGTAAACACATATCGATCTAGATTCCCCCTAAATTTTAGCTTTATCCTGTGCAAATCCCAGTTAATGACCCAGACAAGAATGAATCCTCTTTTTCGTTTCCCGCCACAGTCTCCCTTGTTATCGTTCTTTGACTCCTTATTGTCTGGAGTGGCTTCTATTTGCTGGCTTGAATTTTCCGGGTCAAGTCACTTTAATTTTTCGGAATCATTTTGATAATATCGCTACAGCTGAACAGAGCGTTCAAATATGGCCTCGTATTCTACCAGTTTTTATGTATTTCTATTTTTTTATAGAAATTGTGAAAAATTTAAAATGAGTCTGAGTATTGTTTAATAGAGAAAATTGTCAAAACATCTTCAACTCATATCCAGAAGAATTATATATATTTTTCTTTACTTGACTGTTTTATTGGTATTACTTTGATTCCCGTACTGGATAAAAAAGCACTAAATGTCAAGCATTAAGTGTTTATATCAATGTACGTAAGAGCTAATTACCTAATCAAAGTACATACTCATACGGGATGAGTGTACAATTCAGGAAGTTCGTTTTTTGCAGCTTTTATCCTTTCAGTGAAAGTAGTAATAAGGTGCGGAGTCCTTGATAATTGCCAAGGAATTGAATTGCCTTAACTATGGGCTTGATAGTTTAAATGAGCTGGCTAAAATGAGCATTTGCATAAACAGTTACAAAATATCAGAACCGCTATTGTAAATCTCGTCATTTCTTTGTCTGTTTACATTTGCATAAGTCGGTATCGGATTTATTTATTCCACAATATCTGTTTTTCATTTATCAGCTGGTATTCGAAAACAGGTGTGTCTGTATATACGCCTCGATTTCTAAGTTTTTTTCTGTCGCTTTATTGGTTCAGTAGCCCTTTTGTATCAGCAAATAAAATACTAAAATATACAATAAGTACAATACAAGTCTTTCAATGTGTTAAAGACACTTTTCTTTGACCGAACAGCTTCTGCAAACAAACAATTAGTAGCCATTGAAAGTCAAGTTAAACTCACTTTTAATTACATTATCGTGATGGCACTTTTGCATAACGTTCACACTATGAGCATTGAAAACTTTTGTTTGATTACGATTATTAAAGCAGACAGTTGGCGTGTCGATAATGAATCGAACGAATATTCTGTTGATTAAGTAACGATAAGCCTAGTATTAACAATTTGCACCCTACTATTGTTGTTAAACAAAATTTGTCCTCATTTTCGGTCTTATTTCATTGAATCTGCATATTCAAACAGTGTTACATATTTATATATCGAGACGATTTACGAACAACGTATAAGGCTGATAAACATGTCGTTTAAAATGTATCATTTATAATTTACATACATGAATATTGATAAAGCACCAACAACATAAATCGCCTGAGAATGTGAGCTACAATGTACTTTATTCTTGTTACTAAACAACCGATATTGCTCTCCGATCGCTTAGGAAAACATTTTTATTTGAAATTGAATGTGAGTTGTTGGCATTGGAGGATTATTTTCCAGTTTTCTCTATCGTGTTGCCTTCCTATTTGTATTCCACGCCTGGCTCGGTGTGGTGCGACTTCTTTTTGTTTGCATTGCGTTCGCTCTAGTAAAAGGAATAAATCCGACCATAAAGCGAGCCAAAAGGGGCACAAAATTCGACGCAGCAAAAATAGGCCTTAAAACGTCTGTCCGCCACATTTACACAAAGAGCCAGCGCTTCGTGGAACATTCACCTCAAATTACATTCTCTTTGTTAACAAACTTTGAGGATTTGAGGTCGTCGGTTGGCTAAATACAAAGTTCGATATAAAAACGTTTATTATTATTTTAGCCGAAAATCGATGAGTGAAGCTTCTTGTTTTGTGAGTGTTGAATAGTGTTGAAAGAAAGCAATTTTCTAGTCAGGTTTCCAGAACAACGCAAATCGACTGTTTAAGGTTGTTTGTCTGGATTTTAGTATTGCTTTCAAAAATTTTTAATCTCTAATGTTTAGAATTGGTTTTTCTTTGTTTGAACCTGAATTCATCTATTTTCAAAGGAGCTCTAATCCAAGGCAGTCCATGCCTCAAATGTTCTTATGGTGTTTCTAGCAGATTTCTTCAAGGTTCTTTATAGCGCAACTATTTTGGACATACCAATTGCGTAATGGAATGATATAGGGACTATTTATGGAGTATTTTTTTCTCATGGTTTAAGGCTTTCAAGTGAACATTTCACGGTTAGTTCGAGCAGATATTAACAGGATTTTTTCATATTCGTTTGTGTTGCCCTTTTGTTTTCAAATTTTCGAGCTATTTTAAAAGTATTTGATTCTCAATGTTGCATTTCTTTCAATTTGTCTTCATCCGAAGTCATCGGTCGCGTTTGAGGAAATCTGCTCTGGCTGTCCAACAGCAATCGTTGTATCGGTATTACACTACGCACTTTTCCCCGATTTATTGGCCAATAAAGTGGGCCAGTTATTGAAGGTTATACCCATCATCGACTTTACACTTGGATATTGTTCTCACAATAAATCGGTGCAATTTCAGTAAAACAAACATACATTTCAATACTTTAGTTCTGTTGTTTTGTGTTGGTAACGATGTGTAGATCATAGCGCATGAACCAAGAGCCACATTCTTTGTTTATGCCTTCAAAGAAGCTACTAATTTTCTTTATTTATTTGCCAAAATTGTTGATTACAACACAGATTTTCAACATTTGAAACACAATAAAAATAAAATATAACCAAACCCTTAATTCCATGTGACTTTACTTCGAGAATCGCTGCCAACAGCGACATAGCATATCAGGATTGGCCTTGTTATATGTGTATTTTAACAAAAACTGTCCTAATTCCTAATTGTAATGTATTTTTTTCTGCTAAATTTTGAATAGCATACACCATGCACCAAACAACACTATAAACACAAAAAGTCATAGAGGAGTAAATGTTCGAAAGAACGAACTCGCCAAACAAAAAGATCCACACACGCCAATAATCATAACATGATTTGGTCTACAGTTCAATGCTTTCTTTACGGGCGAAAAACTGGCCTACATTGTGTGACGTCATCAGGCTTTTAGATTTCAGCACTGAGGCCTTGTTCTTAAGACGGTATTGGTAATATTTTTTGGTTTCAAATTCGTCATTTTTTGTATGGCATTTTTATTCTTTCGTAGGCAGAAAAATAATTGATTTATCTATTTCCTATGGAATAACTAAGGCGTTCAATTTCATTTAAAAAATAACCGATCTGATATTGAATGAACATGTAACTAATCGCAACAATTGTATATTGGTCATCGTGAAAGACTTGAAGAATCGATTTTTGTTCATAAATGTTTTTCCATTATAATCGCTTTCCGGTCAGTAGGTTTTTGACTTTCCACTAGATGGTTTGCAGCAAAATTGTTATTAATCAGCACTAAATGCTAAAGGTTTATTATCATCGGTTGATTGCGCTTTGGACTGTATGCATAAGCGATTCAGTATCTGTCTTGTATAATGCTTGGCCAAGTGGAATAGATAAAGGGAATTTGCGCCAATTATACCCGCAAATAAAACACAACACTAAATATTAATTAATGTATTGCCGGTCTAAGTAAATTAGGTTTGGCTTGCTACCAGTTTCAGGTCATTAGTTTTCAAAGATTTGATTTTCTTAGATTTCAGTGCTGCACTCGATACAGGTTGATATTGAAAGCAGGTATCAATCATGTTGAACATTTAAGCTGTGACTTTATCAACATTTGCTCTGTATATAATTGTGGATTATTTGGATGTTTTTAAAGCCCTATTGAAGTACGTATTTGCAAGCTATAAATTATTTGACTTTTTTATCTTATCCTTATTATCTTAATTGGAACGTTACTTGGTCGTATTTGTTTCATTCGCCGAGTTTACGTGCTAGACGAACCCAACAAAACCATATATGGCGATATGGATTCACCATAGTTGGTGAAAGCTTCTGAATGATTTAGCTGCTCGGTTTACGAATTAGGCAATACGACAAGTGCTGATTCTAATTGTTTATAAAGAAAACATGTTTTTCTCCGGTCTAAGAAAAGCGTTTTGTTGGCCCTCCAAATACAGAGTTTTTCTCGCAGGGGATCAAGAAGATCCTATTGTATATTTGGTAAGTTTACATTTTTTGTTGTTGTTCTGATATGAATAATAAGAATATAATCATCATGCCATTAAGCGACTGCCTCATTAAATACCAACGTGTTCCAGTTTTGGTTACAGTCGTAATGGTGTTTTAGAACATATTAATAAGCGATACAAGGTTAGGTCGTGTAATGAGAATATTAGAACTGGTACAGCAAAACTGCTCTAGAAATAGGCAAATTATCCAACGTATGGCTGATTATAATTTTCCATTTTTTGCGTGATGTTTAGAATGTTTGCATTCGGATGCAAACGGAACGTTTGTCTTAACGTTATTTAATTCACGTTTTCCTTTCCAGGATGAATCATCGGAGTTCCACGACACGCTCGACGCTAACCGAAATTCCAAAAGGTAAGTTTTTGCTTCACTATCTTATCTTGTTGAACAATGTACTATATTGTTATGAAAACCCGATTCTTTCAACTGCTCGATCGAAAACAATTATTTTATTCGACGGTTGTTGCAAGATGATCGTGCACGGATCAGGGCTGTTCACATTGAAATTACTATAATTAGCAGATGATAATCGCCGTCCAAGGACTCTTTAATGTTCAATCTTCGCATATTTAAATGAAATACGTCAGTGGCGTTGCTTGAGGCCGGTTTCCTCATTATATCAGACTAATGTTTGAGTCAATCTTCAAAAATTTCGCACTCTTCCTGTTCGCTTCCTTGCAATTGACATTTCCACTRAGTTGCCATTTGATTTGCAATTCATTTATTGACTTCATGTTTTTATTAGCGAAAAAAGGTTAAATAAGAGTTCTGTTTAAAGGTGTTTCGTAAAAGCTACTAGCAATTGTTTAGTGGAGAGTTAAATGGGAGGGCCTTTAAAATTGTCCACTGTTTTATTCGCTTTATGGTGTTGTTCAAGAGCTTATAAAAGGCGTTAAGTCATTTTTAAAATTACGACTGTTCTAKTACCAATTTTAAAAAATTGRAATTGTCAATTAGCCCTTAAATTATGTGCCCAATTCTCAAAACCTTTGTGCCCATAAAATTGATTTCTAGTCATTAAAAAAAGTGTTAATCATCAAAATAATGACCGAATGAATAGACTGAATTTATCAAATGATTTTTGGAGAAATTTTATCGTCGATAATATTGAGAACATTGAAACATTTGATGGCCTAATGTTGACTAAGTTGTGAGAGAGTACAAGGTTGAAGCATTTTTGATGCACTATGAGGGAAAATCCCCGTTTAATAATTCCAGAAAAACACAAATGGTTCGCGGTATTTTGCCTGTTAGTTATCCCTATCAAAAATTTAAATTGGTGATTGGAGCGGGAAATTATAATGTTTTGTAATGGGATTTTTTCAGTTTGAACCTGAAGTCATTCATTTTCAGTGAATTTTTAAGCGAAAGCAAGGTTTGGGAATATTTTCAAACATGTAAAAATGTAAAATACCGTTTTATGCTTAAAAGAGGTTCTTATGGCTGAACATGCAATTTAATTTTTCAGCTGATTTTCTTCAAAATTTCGTTGTAGCGCAACTATTTTGGGTAAACCTACATTTTATTCTCAGAGGTTTTCGATTGTATCGATTTAATTGCTTAATGGAATAAAATGTTGCATACGAACTCTTTCTGAAGTTTTTTACTAAGTTTTTGAAACTTTTTTTTGAAATTAGTTTACATGCCATCCCTGTGATTCTCTATTTCGAAATTTTCATGAATCTGTGATTTCGAAATGATTTTACCTGTTATTTTGTGTGTCTTTTTCTTAATTATTTAAGCTATTTAAGCAGCTTTCGACAAAAAAAACTTTATTATGATCAAATAATATAACCTTTTGCGGCCATTTCTTGAAACTGCTGGGTCTGTTGGGTCTTAGACCGTCGTGAATTTCTTCTTGACGTTTCGCAAGCACGAGTGGCGATGGCGTGCTTCTTCAGAAGCTTTCGGGTGTTTCTTGCGAAACGTCAGGAAGAAGTTCCAATTTACAATGGCCTAAAATCCCTAAAGTTTTTGGATTATGATGTTTAAAAGATTTGAAACATGCGATTTGATTGCTTGTTATTATCAGCTTAAGATAAGTTGACTTTGTAACGTGTTAGACTTGATATGACATCGATTTTCTAAAGGTTTCTGAAGATGCTAAATTAGCGTAATTTACAAAAATGTTGACATTTTTCGAAGAATTTTTTTTCACTTCTTTGCCTTTTCTAATAGTTTTACCTAGACTTAACAATAGCATATTTATTGTAGTGTTCCTTACATGATAAATTGTTTCATATCGTTTTATTTATTTATTTAACCAGAATTAATTAAATTGTACATCAAACTGTAAAACCTTGCAGATATAAACACAGTTATCTATACGCAGGTCCAGTTGCAAGAAAGAAAACTAAACAAAAATATAACAATAAGAAAAAAATCCTTCACACTAACTAAAAGTAAAGTTTTCTTGATCGAGCTGTCAAGAAACATTTCTTATTCTATTATATTAGATATGAAGGTACATTACTAACAGTAAAAGCTGTAGAACTCAGGTAGATTTTATCCAATCTTTCAACATACTGACGTGTGATTTGTGTTTCATAAATTAGATTTAATTAGCAATATTGAATAAATTATTACAACTAGAAAAAATAATCTAGCGAACATTAATCTGGGTTTCTGGCGGATCACCAGCGAACAAACAGATCCTTTGTTTTCAATCTGTTCAAATTGCTACTGTAAGTATTAAGTACATGGGAGGTGCTTTCTAAAAGACGAAGTATGAAATCATTTACTTCGCGAAAACATTCATTAAAATCGAAAAACGGCCCTGTAAAAGTGATTGATAATTTTTCAATCTTATACTCAAGTACGTATTTTCCCAGACCTCAATCCTGGGGATCCAGATCCATCGTTTTTCGCACGTATAGCGAAAAACCAGACTTGGAAGAATTGCACGGGTTGTTTAAAGTTGAGTTGGAAGTAGATGATTCCTCCATGATTTTAGTATGTAAATTATTTGGACTGTCGTTAAAAAACATCCTGTTTATTCGAATTAGTCAGCTCATCTGAATCACTCCGATTTGGGGTGGATGCAGATGAGATGACGCAACGGCAAAAGGGGAACGTGATATTGACGTCAAGTTGATGGACTGTTCCATTATTCATCTCTCACCGGATGCCGAAATAAGCCCATTAGATAGGGATGTAAGCCAAAGGGTTGATTTATTGGGATTGGCTTTGTTGAGCTATAAGTAAAATTTTATGCAAATGACCATTATTGATGAGGAGCAAGCTCTGGACTATGTGCAAGTTGTTGGGTTCTATTAAATCCAATAAATCACTTGATTTTTACTGTGAAACGTTGCACAACAGATGCCAGAATGGCAAGCTTAATCACATTTTAAAACATCATTTACGCCTAATAAAACCAACATGAAATTGTTATGGTGAAGGTGCTTGCATGCATACTGATGCGTCCAGTTTGAGCGGCATGAACTGCCTGAATGCTGAAAACCTTGAAGTATCCGATCAATTTCCTTCGAGTATAAACCAGAATTACCCGGAGTCGTTTTTTCTTCCATTGCCTCAGGACTTGTCACGTTAAATATCAAACTGATACTGGCGCACCCGTAATGGTTCAACAAAACATGATCGTCGATTAAAATAAACATGCCAATCTAAGTCTTATCGATTCACAAATCGTTATGCCAAAATTCACTCCATTGCTTCGGGTACCCTTGTGCTTGTCAGGTGGCATTTTGATCAGCGGGGCGCTGCAAATGGAACCATATGCGAGCATGTAAATATCTCAAAAACTGTAATTTTTCAGCAAAATCGAGAATGAGTAGCTACGTCTATCTATCTCTAAAGTCAATCTAATTCAAATCTTGAATTCGTGGTTTGAGCTTCCAGGTTTAGATATTCTTAACCACGAATTTGTGGCTATTTTATAAAAAATGTTCTTCAAAAATTTAAATGTTTAACAATGTCGAACATGCATAAAGTTTACCTTCCTTGCGGAGACAGTAACCATCCATCGAGTCAAATCTTCTACTGAGAGACATGTAGAATCCACGGTGTTGTTGATTACGCACAAACTGATTCTTCTGAGCCGCCAAAAATTTAAAAGGCAGCAATGAACAGCTCATTGCTGAAGTCATACATATTATACCGATTAAGCAATCAGTTATCTTGTATCCTGATCTGGAACTGGTTCTGAGCCAAGAGGTTGATTGTTTTTATCTAATTTCATTTTTCACACGTGGTAAAAAGGTTTGTGTTTTCTCCATTTCCATTGAGAAACCATGTGCAAATGACAATCTATTAAATTCAGCAAGTAAATAATTTTGTCAACATACTTTGTCGTTGGCAATAGTTGCGTACTATTGTCAGGTTGCGTCTTTTGTTTTCTCATCTCGAAACAATTGCAACATTTGCAATTGCGAAGTTTACGTTAAAAGTTCACAACGAACAATGAAGGAAAAAACACACCAGCAACATTTACGTTGACGGCGGAATCAGTTGGATTGTTGTATGTTTCAATTTAGATCATCGCGTGCCAAAATTCCGTCTCTCAGATTTACTTCTTTGATGAAGACATCAATTAGTATACTTGCCAATCTTATCAAGCGTGGAAAAGTAAAAACAGAAAAATTCAGTAGGGAATTAGTGACATGCAGATATTTTCAACCGTGTACTCTGTGTGATATTTGTGCAAATGATTACAACTTAATTAGTAAATTGAGTAATCTTTCTACAGTTTTTTGGTTTTGAAGTACAAAGGTACTTAATTTAAGAAATGTTTTATTGTTTTCAGATAGGACATCCTAAGAATATATCGAAAACAGATGTACGGTATTTCTTTTTAAGTCGAACATTTCTTTCTTCGAATAAGCCATGGACAGTTGAAGCGCACTTATAAAGAATAAGAACAAATCAATAATTCAACAACGGTTTGCTGATATTCCACTGCGTTTGTTCCAATTATCAAAATCTCAATCATATCGATTATGGCAATTTAAATCGTTTGGCAATACGCAATTAGGAGGTCAGAGATAAAAAAAGGAGCCGAAAAAAGAACGAATATATTTGAGGTCAGCCACGCAACTAAATCAGCGGGTCTCAAGCGAAAAAAGATTGCGTAACATTTACATAATTTCATAATTAGTTAATTTTTGAACAATAAAAGTAGGTTAAGATTAGTGCAACGCAAGAGTCGGGCAATTACTTCGATACCTGTAAAGCGTGAGAAGCAAAACCAATATCCTTTGGCGAACCTGCCTACAAAGCGCTATTTTATAAGATCGTTAATGATAAAATAATGATCTGCGGAAATGTTTAAGGGGCTTTCAAGTAATCGAAGTGGTGATTATTCGAGAAGCGAAGGTTTTCGTTTTTGGTACATT